TAAAAATCCTTACAAATAGTGCTTATGGTTGGGTAAGATCCTATATATCTCGTTGTCTTCAAATACAGATATGCACACAACATATTCCAATGTAGGTTCATGATTTTCTGATTCGTAAAAATACGTTGGGAGTGATTTTAGATGGAGGCATCGAGACCTCCAGCGTAAACAGCAGGGAAGGCGATGGGGATGCTGCAGTCGATGGCGGTTCTGGCGGAGAAGTTGACTATGGCTAAACCAGCGATCATACAAATGAAACGAAACTATGAAGATACACGCAATTACTATAAAAATGATAGACAGTAACATAATTTTTGGATTGACTGAAGTGTAGGTTGAATCATGACTCTGTTTATCCATTAAAGATTTTTGGAGTTGATTATGAATTTCAAGAGAATTTAAAGCTCTGTAAAGTGATGGGGATGTTTTTTTATCTATGGATATTGTCCCGACAGGTTCAAGAGGAAACATGTCGTTAAATTTATCACTGTCCCTCTCACTTGTGGATAATTGAATAAACTTTTGAGTACTCTCCCAAGTTTATGAAAATAACAGGTCTTTTTCACTTTAAAATATTTGAGAACCCTCCCTTGGCAAGTTAGCATAATAAACTTTGGCTTGTTTACGCGTGTGGTAATGGTGACTGGAAGTGGAGCAACCACCATCCCGTTCAAGAGCAAATGAAGGCAGAAGTTGCCCCAACACACAACAACAATGAACACTAAACAGCTCGTAATCAAAGGTAGAGTTGAAAATTAGGTATCAACACCACAACCATCTCCAACAAAAAGGACCAGACCAGACCACCCGCATACAATCGCCGCCTGCAACCACACCACAACCAAAAAACCCCAAATCCTAGTCAAGGCCCAGACATTTGGTGGTCGTGCGATTCGCTGGTGGTTGGAATTTTATACATCTACTGCTGCTGCTGCGAATCGTGATTGTCTTTCGCCGGATGGCTGGAGAACAACAGATACCCGTTCTCTGCTACTTCGTCGAATGTGAGAGAGGGAAAAATGGTGCAGACGGTAGAGGGGAGTGGAGGCGGCGATGGTGGAGAGAGGGGAGTGGAGGCGGCGACGGGTGGAGATACTGGAGACGGCGAGTTGGGGTGACGGCGAGAGGGTAGAAATGGGGAAATGGGGGAGGGTTTGTTCCTATTAGGGTTTGAGTAGATTAATTATATAAAAAGAAAGTTTTTAAATTTTTAATTAAAACCCGATTTTTGAAATATTAAACTTGTAACCTTATTTGTGAAATTGGAAATCTAAAAGTAGGTGTAGGTGTAATTTCCTCTAAATTAAAAACTATCAATCTTTGTTAAACCCGTTTAAAGTGATCTAATAAAGTTTCAATATTTTGGGTTTTGAAGCATCCAATTAAAGTGTGGGCTTTATGTGTAGAGACTATGTTCGTTCCTAATTTCACAATGAGCCGAATTAGGTTAATATGCCGTTAGTATTTATATACGGTCATGATCCCCAGTTCACACGTGATTGTTCATTCTATTCTGACTCCTATCATCAGAGAGAAATAAAGAATTACGTGTTAATCTGAAAGACTAAAACTGTATGATTAAATCATTGCATTAACCATGTCTGATTCAGGTACGCTTCCGCTTTGGTTCATGAATTCTTGATGATCCAACATGAACGATCATTATGACGGTAACAAGTTTTTCCAACACTATTTTCATCTTGATTGCGTAGAATGATGTGGTTGATCGCTAAGGTAGCTTGATGAACAACTAGACGTTCAACACTATTTCGAACAAGAATGCTCCTCAAGCACCGTTAGAGCTTACCAAAACGTCCAAGATGATTAAAGAGGAAGAAAAGTTTAGTCAAAGGTAGTGTAGAACCTCCCTGAATCCTAGTTTTATTAACTGCAGGAACTCAAGCAAGAACGCTCCTCAACATCCATTAGAGCTCAACACAATTTTATTTCTTAAAAGCCGATGGTTTAAGAGAAGATGAGTTGACTCAAAGTGGAGCCTCTCTAAATCTTAAGATGTGACTAGTTACTATCTATGTAAAGGACTGGTTGCCATTGCTACATTATTCCTGTACCTAATCTAATATATCCCTTCTACATCATGTATTATATAAGAGTGATGGTACACGTACAGGACGGGGGGCTTGGTTTACTGCCAAGCCATCCACTGTACATGGGGTAGGGGGTGTATTTTTTTCTTTTTTTTAAAAAACATGTGGCCTGCCAGTGTGAGTGGCCTGGCAGGCCCCTATGAATTTTGCTCCTGTACTTGGAGCAAAATTCATTATATAAAACCCTTGTTTGTTGTAGATTAAAATCAAATTTCTAGTAGATTTTTATAAAAATTAATGGAATATATGATTGAAAAGTTGTGAATTCCATGAAATGTGTGATTAAAATTAATTGTTAACTTTGACTTACAATTAAAATCAGATTTTAGTTTGTACCAAACAAGGACAAATAAAAAGTATACAGGGTTTTCTTTACATTCAGGGCTGGATGTACTACGAGTACATTGAAGTAGAAAGGAGAAAGAGCATGCTCATGTTTGTAGGAGATGGGATTGGGAAGACATATAAAGGGCAACCAGAATGTTGCCGATGGCTGGACTACTTCCCGATCTTCCGCAGTTGGTGGGTTCTCAACTCTCTTTTACTGATTCTGTATGTTTGATATACAGCCCCCCGTTTGACATCCATTCTCTTTCTCATTTTTTTTCTCTTTCTTCATTTCAACCACACATTAATCAATAAAATAATATTACTCATAAACCCAAAAAAATTTCTTACTTTTCAACCACACATTCTTTCCATCAATCACTATTCCAGAATTTATTTTTCACCAAAATGGGTGTCAAACACACCCACATTATTAGATGACCTTTTAGTGTTTTTGCATGTCCTTTGAACTTGCAGCAGTGGTGGGAAGTGGATTCATCGGCAAAGGCATCACATTTGAGAACTACGTCGGGCCGAGCAAACACCAAGCGGCGGCGCTAAGGAGCGGCGCAAATTTCTCCGCCTTTCTACCAATGCAGCTTCGCGGATATCAAGATACTCTCTACGTCCATTCCTTCTGCCAATTCTACCGTGAATGTGACATGTACGGCACAATCGACTACACCTTCGGCAACGCTGCCGTCGTTATCCAAAACAGCAATCTATACGTGCGAAAACCTAACGACCAACAGAGGAACATATTCACTGCCCAAGGAAGGGCAGACCAGAACCAAAACTCAGGAATCTCAATTCTAAATTGCAAAGTGGACGCTGCCTCCGATTTGATTCCTGTCCAGTCCTCATTTCGAACCTATCTCGGTTAGCCATGGAAATAGTATTCCAGGACTGTATATATCTTCTTTCACATATGGGGGATGGGTTGGTTGGAATGGGATGGGACTTTTGCATTGGATACGCTTTATTACCTACTTTATTTTTTGGTTGTGGGAATAATGAGAATCAAAACCTACCACGCTTTGCTTCATATCCGAGCTTCTTCCACTCATTTCCAAGATATAATTCTCAACTATGTAAAAAATCCCATAATCATAGATTAGGATTACAACTCCAAGAAAGAACTTTAGGTAAATATTATTTAAATTTTCATTTTAAAATGTCAATCCTTATTAAAAAGACTAGCTCAAATCCTTGTAAACATTACCTCTAACATTTTCACGTAAGATGGTAGCTCGTTTGAGAACAATCTTGAAATTCGTGTGTTCATTTGAGTTTTACTCAGATCGAATTGCTCGTCTGAATTTAAAAAACTTTGATACCATATCAAGAATTGAAATTTCATCCTGAAATATCAAGATAATTAAAAAGAGTTGTCCAAGAACATATAAATATATTATTCGATGTGTAATACTACCCTCAACAATTATAGAGTTCGGCCGCTTGGCTACACAATTTAGATGTTATTTTGCTCATAATCAACTCGTATCGTTAAAAATGTTGCTAAAACCTGTGTCTTTGTCACTTATTTTGCGGCCATCCAAGGTGAAGATCAATGATGTGCACTTCAGACACATAAGGGATAGCACGATTTCAAAAGTTCTTGTCCTACTCAATTGCAGTCGAACATTCCCTTGCAAAGGCATTGCATTGCATATATTAATTTAGCCACTTCCAAGTCCAATTTGTCCACTTACATCTGCTTGTTCCAACTCAAAATTTATATTGCGAGGAAAATTTTATCCTTTCAACCCTGCTGGTCGTGTATAGGTTTTCTTATGCTGGAGTAGGCCAAAAACCATTTCGACGAACAAAAGTAATGGAAGAAATATATTTTCGAGTCCTTTTTGGAGGATTTTTTTTAATTGTCATCCTCCAAGTTGTGAGCCAAAAGGATGTAACTATTGGATTCAGTCATAAATTACGATTTTCAAATATCAAATCTATACTAAACCAAGAAAGTACATCATTTAGGTAGTCCACGAAAATAAGACATATTAAGAGTTCGTTTGTCAAGAATTTTTTTTTTGGTGTATCACTTGTTGGTAATATTAAAGTGGACCATATTACAAGTATATAATCATTTACATAATATATTACATAATTGACATGTGAAGGGCATCTATCGATAGCCTACAATTTTTTACTTTTCCGCACTTCACATCTACGGTCGGATTTCTTCCACATGGACCTATGTAATTCATTATGTACATATAGATTTATCCTATTAAAGTAGGGTAATTTCACTTGTACATCAAGTTGTGTACACAAGAGATTGCACCTTCGATGTACCGCTAGTATCACCCATTAAAGTATGCATGACAAAATTTGATCGAGTTTAACATGTCAAATTATTTCGAACTCGATTGCCATCTCTGCGTAAATGTGCATGCATCTTATATGCTTTTAGCACATAAACCACTATAGTTGACTGTAGTGGTCAACAGGTCAACGGTTATCCACTCACAAAGCTGAAAAATCCTAGCTGTTGGGCATATTCGTGGNGCGTCTTCCCCAAAATCTGCACCAAACAGATCCATTTAGGTATTGAGTTCCCTCACTCAATTTCATTTGTATTTTGTCAACCTTGTTGCCTAAAAGTGAATTACAAGACATTTTCATCTGAAATTTCCACGAATGAGGAACTATTACCCATGTTGAACAAATTCATGTGAATGCATGGTATTTATGTAAATGTGGTTGATATACATATGTTCGCACTTTAACGTATCTAAAGATAAAGATGAACATTCGACTTTATTTAGCCCATGTTTGGTTTAGTTAAAAAGCAGGTTTTATAGTAAATTCGATAAAAGTTGATTAAACGTATTGTTGAAAAGTTGATAAAAGTTGTGTGATTCATGAAATTTATAGTTGCAAAAAGAATTTTAAAAAATGGAGGCTACACTTGATAATGAATTGATCCAATTAAAAAGAAAGGAGTGAGGTTTTCATCAGTCAATTTTATTTCTATTCACACCTGTATCGAAAGTTGATTGATGTATACCTTCTCTTCGAGGAAGTATATTCCTATGTGAATTGAGAGGGAAAAAGGCATTCCCTGGTCGAAGCTGCATTTAGTGTTAGAAGTGGAATATGCCATTATATTCATACACATACGTCCACTACTCTCTTCCCTAAATGTGTTGACTTCAATTATGTTATTTTACCTTTTTCACATCTCCTTGCATTGCTTTTCCTATGTTTTAGTCATATATATGGTTCATTTTAGAGAATATATCGAATCAGAGCATCTCCAAACGATTCTTTAAACATGAAATGCTTTACGTTTTAAAGAGTCAATATTTAAAATCATGTTTCAAGAGTCTCTTTAAATTAACATTTTAATTTGGGTAATGCTATTCATCCCCATTGGGGATGGAAACACAGTCTACAAGGCGTCAATGTGGCATTAAATGATAGTGAAATTAAATAAGTAATTTAATTTCACATTTAATTTAAAACCACATAAACTATGTTTCTATCCCCATTGGAGATGAATAACATTACTCTTTTAATGAATTTAGAGACTCATTCTCTATAATTAGATGCATACTCTTTAAATTAACATTTTAATTTAAAGAGTGAGTTTTCGAGGACCAAACCCACTCTCTATAATTAAATGCATTCAAAGTGTTTCAATTTTCAACATAGGAAAACAATAAAATAATCTAAAGAAAAGTTAGTTAAAATAAAAGATAAAGAAAAATAATAAATATTTTTTGGGAGTAGTAAAATCAAGTGTTAAATATAAAGAGCTTGTTGGAGTACTTCAAAATTTTAACTCTCTAAATTTATAGATGCTCTCATGCTCTCCAAATGATAGAATATGCTCTTTAAAAATAGATAGTCTTTTGGAGATGCTCTTATCATGATCAAAATCTTTCTGACGAGGTTTGTGGCTAGCATTAAATCCCTATATTTTGTGTTGTTAGTAGAATTTGAATTTATAAGAAAGGTGTAATTACATACAATAGGATTGATTTTCTTTATTTACACATCAAGCGTAGTTCATGTGAATTTCTTTTCGTATTTTGACTTTTTAAATTTTTTAAAAATAATATAATCAAGTGTCAAAAGAGATAAGGGAAAGAAGAAAATGTTTTCACAATTTATTGATTTATCTCAAGTCTTGTTCTATCAAATAAATTTATCAAAGTCAAAAATTTTGATTGATTTTCAAAAAACGAGTAATGCTATTCATGATCATAGGGGATGAAAACACAGTCTATGAGGCGCTAATATGACATTAAATTATATGTGAAATTAAACAAGTTATTTAATTTCACATTTTATTTGACCTATTATTTAATACCACATGAACTGTATTTTCATCGTATGAATAACATTCCTATTGAAAAACCTACCTCGGTCAAATCGTGGCGTGCAATCCCATACACTTAAACCATACCTTAATTTTCTACGTACAAAATTAACCTACAGAGAAATGAAATATTAGCAAAATAAAAAATATCTTCATCATACGGCATTTATGTGGTCTCGACTGGAACTCCATTTTATCCCTCTGTTTCTCACTCTAAGATTATCTCAATCTCTTCACCACCTGCCTTCAATCCACTCTTTAACTAAGCCCTCTCTAATTTTGAATAACTAGGTTTTTTCTCCTTTCGCCGAATAGGAATCTTTTGATTCTATATTTTAATGAGCTTTGGATTCTGCTTATTTTTTTTTGTTTCAGAATTGTAGTTTAGTTTGCGTTTAGTTCAATGCGTAGTTTGTGGACCGATGCTTCGAATTAGAAATGACTCCTGCTTCTTCAATGTCAGGTCCGTATTACTTTACGCTCCGATGTTGATTTCTTGTTGTTTAGTTTATAATTTTATTCAGCTAGTGATTTTTTTTTTTTTTTTGGGAAATATTTGATTAATTTTGTGCGATTGCGAATGTTTGTTTCGATTTTGGCAGTGTCTGTAGAATGCTTGAATACATTTAAGTTCTGGAAAGGGGTTGCGAGTGGAAAATATGATTGCAGCGTGCTCTCGTGTGCTTCTAAGGCTCCAAGAGCACTCACGGGATTTCTCGCAAGCACCGCGCATCCTCCGCTGCAGTGTGGACGAACTGCTAGAAGAAATCACATTCCATGTGTGAGTATTTACCTGAATTTTAAATATTTTATGCATCAAAATTCATCACATGGCTGATCAAGAACACATAAGTTTCGAAATGCTGTCGTGCTATATCTAGCCAACTTCAAATTTTGTATGAACAAGGCTAGGTTTGTTGTTTCTATATCTAGATTTTCATTTGGACTAGCAATTTTTCTTCTGTTAGTGTGTACTTATACATGTCTTTGTATTGTATGTCATTGAATTTTATAAGAGTACTCATTCTTTCTGTAGCTGAAATGTGATTCACGAATTTATTATCTGTTGTTTCTATTGTAGTAGCAAAATATGTTTTTTTGCATTCATCAGCAGCAAGTGGCCTTTTCTTTTTCTACCCCTCAGTTATTCTTTCACTTGTGCCAGAGATGTGAATCGCATAATTTGGGAGGGTGGTATTCACATGAAGCCTCAGACCCCGTCCTTCCACAAAAGCTCTTAAGCTCGAGAGTGGTTCATTTGGCTACTAGCAAATGGAATTTGCGTAGTTTACCATCTTCTTCACAAGCATGCGAGGTTTCTCCTGAAAGTTTGTGGGAGGTATGTGAAATGACTCATTTGTCATCAATTGTTCGCATAAAAAATGTAATTTATGAATCTAAGAAACTATATGAAATCTGTCTGAGATAGTACAATAATGATTACTATTGTGAAAGGCTAAAGGTAGCAGGCATGGAAGATAAATTAAGAAAGAGAAGATTAGATGGTTCGATCACATTCAAAAGATGACGAGTGGATGCACCTGTTAGGTTGAATGGCTCGATTACCATAAATCTTAAACCTTGACAACAAGTAGGACATGAAATGATGTTATTGGAAAATGCGATTTCTGGTGAAACTCTAGAGCTAATTGCACTTGACAAAGCTAAAAGAATCCATGTATTTGCCCTGATAGCAGGGAAAGGCTTGATCTGAAAATTACAGTGCGGATGAGTGCCAAAAATGGAGTAACAACTATTACAGTACTGCTGCAATTTTTTTCTTTGTATCAGGATCTCAAACCTACCATCCAGTATCTCTCATCAAAAGAATTGGAATTGGTTCGTAATGCACTGAATGTAAGTTTATTTTGCTCCTCATAAATTCTTAATTGCTCTAGTTTTTATTATCTTCTAGTGCTCTGGTCTCAATGCTCGTTATTTTTTATATTTCTTTTTTCCTGTATTTTTTAGTATACCTTTTTGTCCCTCCACCTCTACCTCCCATATGTATAAATTTTTGGCTCCTAGGAAGATATACTGCTGAGCAACTCTTTTGTGTGGTATAGTCAGCAAGGATTCAGGTGCCAAACCTTAATTTTATGTCCTTTTCTTTTTTGGCTTGTTACACAGCTGGCTTTTGATGCCCATGATGGTCAAAAGAGACGCAGTGGGGAGCCATTTATTATTCACCCAGTGGCAGTTGCACAAATTCTTGGAGAACTTGTGAGTTATGCAGATTTATTATCTTTATCCATCTCTATAACGGATGAACTTTTGATTTTCTTTAATTAGTTGGCACTTGATTTGATTATGGCAATCACTTTTACTTAATTTCTGTCATTTCAGGAATTGGATTGGGAGTCAATTGCTGCTGGTTTGTTACATGACACGGTGGAAGATACAAATGTTGTTACATTTGAAAGAATAGAGAAAAATTTTGGCGCTACCGTTCGTCACATTGTCGAAGGAGAAACTAAAGCAAGTTTCATGCTCTTTATTCTTTTATAGCTCTTTTCTTTTTTCATACGTTATTTTCTTATTTCCCTTTATTTAAATCTAGTCTTTAATGTTAAGTTGACACTCATTGTTGAACATTTAATATTCATATGTTATTTGCTTCTGTTAATCCAGGTATCGAAACTTGGGAAACTTAAGTCCAAGGATGAGAATAATTCTGTTCAAGATGTCAAGGCAGATGACCTCCGACAGATGTTTCTAGCCATGACTGAAGAGGTATGACACTTGTATGTGTAGATATATAGTAATAGCTTTGTTTCTGCACTAGTCTCTAACAACAAAGTGTTGGGTGTATCAGGTTCGCGTTATAATAGTCAAATTAGCTGACAGATTGCATAACATGCGCACGCTTTCGCATATGCCTCCGCACAAGCAGGTGTATATATTGGAACTTTTGTTCAATTACTATCAGATTCCAAATTGTTCTTAACGGTATCTATCGTGTCTAGTCCAGCATAGCCTTGGAGACACTGCAGGTTTTTGCTCCTCTGGCAAAATTGCTTGGAATTTACCAAATCAAGGTACGCTATTTCCTACTATGCTGATTGTTATTATATCTTCTTGGATATTCATAATATAAAGTTTTTCATGCTATCTCGATAGACCTTTTAAACAGTAACCGCATTTTGCCGGCATATCTAAATTAAATTTTAGATTATTATTGTGAATTTGTGATTGACGTCCGTTTAAGGCTTATATAAGACTAATTTTTGAACCTGTAAGATGTGTCATGTTCCACATTCAATTTTGTATTGTTTCACGTGCCTTCTACAAGGAAATTTCATTGTTTTTTCTCTACACTTAATTAGTAATAGTCATATTGCTCTGTCCCTATGTTCACTGATTTGAATCCCTGGGGATTAAACCCCATACTAGACTGCATGTGGGTCCAATCAAATCGCGTGTTTCCATTTCTTGCACCTCCGGTGTGAAGACGATGACCCAAGGTTTGCCTTTTTTTGGCATCTATTCAACTAGAACACATGAAATGTTGGATATTCCATCCTTAACTTCACTAAAGTGGTCAACTGGGAGCTGGAGTATGGACATCCTAGATCTATATGGGAACAGCTGTTAATCTCCTTCACCATTTGATTTTTATGCCAAACAATTTTTGTATTCTTCAGTGCCAAATTTCAGTAAATAATTGGTCATACAAATGATTTAAAAATTTATAATGCTTACACTTAAAATATTCTATGAAGGTATATATTCACACGTGATATGGGCACTATAACCATTTGTTTTACTGTAGTTGGAAGCTGTACTATTGATCTCGCTCTTCTTATCCAGTAATTATTTGTACTCTTACCAGATCTTTTATCTTTGCATCTCCTCCCCAGAATGACTATTTCCTTTGTTGTTGTAGGCCACATTTAGAAAAGTACTATGCTGGTCAACAATTACTTCTATTGCTATAATGCAATTTCCCTGAACATAAAAATGCTTTTAACTGAACCTCGCGTGGTTCATGATTTCCATGTCATTTCACCGGCAATACTTTCTTTCTACAAAATTCTCTTCTGCTTTGGTATATCGCTATTATATTGCATTTTCTGCTTACCTTCCCATTTTCCTTCTTGCAGTCAGAACTTGAAAATCTTGCATTTATGTACACAAATGCTCAAGATCATGCTAAGGTCAGGAGAAGAATTTCAGAGCTTTATAAAGAACACGAGAAAGAACTCGAAGAGGTAATTTTACTTTATTCTGTGATCCAGCACGTGATATTGTAGCAAGCAAATTTTCGGAAGCATTGATGGGGTTATATGACTTTTTGGTTGTAATTTATAATTTTTTTCTGCGTAATCTACTGAACTCTTTTATTCTAGGCAAAAAAAATATTAATGAAGAGGATTCAGGACGACCAATTCCTAGATCTTATGACGGTGAAAACTGAAGTTCAATCTGTATGCAAGGAACCTTACAGGTGATCCTTGGACCTCTTTTTCTCTCATTTCAGATGCATTGATTTATTAGTGTATGTCTGTCATGGTGAATGCCTGTTCTCTTTTCTGTCCTTTTAATTTTTAGTTAATAACCCCAACCATCAACCTCCAACCTCATCTATGGGAATAGAACTTGAACTATTAGATGTACAGAAACTCCACTTATTGATATGGAAGTCTGTATAGTGTAAATTCTCTTATATATATATGCAGCATCTATAAAGCTGTTCTTAAATCCAGAAGCTCGATAAATGAAGTCAACCAAATTGCACAGGTATTGCCATCAGTTTTCTCGATCATTTTGATGTGCCATTTTCTGTTACAATCTCTCACTTGTCTGAATATTTTTCTTACCAGCTCCGAATAATAATAAAACCGAAGCCATGTGTCGGAGTCGGGCCCTTGTGTAATGCACAGCAGGTAAATTGTTATCTAGTGTAAAGCATCTAACATCGCATTCTAAATTACAGTCCTCACGTGTCTCTCCAACTGAAATTCCCATCGCAGATATGCTACCATGTTCTCGGGCTGGTGCATGGAATTTGGACTCCTATTCCTCGAGCCGTATGTCTTGTTCATCTTTTTTTTTTTTCTAGTTTCAAGATCCTTTTACTACATATTGAGGCGTCCTCATTCTTTGGGAAACAGATCAAGGACTATATTGCCACCCCGAAACCTAATGGCTACCAGAGTCTTCATACTACTGTTATACCTTTTCTTTATGAGAGTATGTTTAGGCTGGAAGTTCAGGTTAGTCATTTTGATTTCTCTAATTTTAATCTCTATCTCGAGCATCATCTAGATGCCTATCATATATGATTATTAGTCGCATGTTCTCTAGTCATATTTTTACTTGCAAGGAATTCAATTTATTTTTATATTACATTGGTTGGCAGATTAGAACTGAAGAGATGGATTTGATTGCTGAACGAGGGATTGCTGCACATTATAGTGGGAAAGTTTTTGTGAATGGCTTAGTTGGACATGTTATGCCAAATGGCAGTAGGTCCCGAGGGAAAACAGTTTGCCTAAATAATGCCAATGTTGCCCTTAGGGTAGAATATCTTTTAACTCTATAGTTTCACATATAGATAACATTCTTCTGTTAGGAGTTCTTAGATTAAGTGCTATGTACTTGACTGCATCACTAATTCAACGGTGGTACTCCCTTTCGTCTTCAGATAGGCTGGCTGAATGCAATTAGGGAATGGCAAGAGGAGTTTGTTGGGAATATGAGCTCCAGAGAATTTGTTGACACTATCACCAGAGATCTTTTAGGCAGTCGTGTCTTTGTATTTACACCAAGAGGAGAGGTAATAGTTATCATTGATGTTGTGGGAAAAGGAACTCTGTGTGGGATGCTTATTTAGTTCTTAATTTCCTGCAGATTAAAAATCTGCCTAAGGGAGCGACTGTCATTGACTATGCATATATGATACACACTGAAATTGGCAACAAAATAGTGGCTGCAAAGGTAATGGATCTGTGTCTGATGTATATTTTGTCGTTTATGAGTTCTGGTTACACTGTTGCAACTTTCTTTTCTGTCTAAATTCTGCTCTAAATGCCAAAATTTTCTTTTTGCAGGTCAATGGCAATCTTGTATCTCCAACGCATATGCTTGCTAATGCTGAAGTTGTGGAGATAATAACTTACAATGTTAGTTGATGTGAATTTTTTACTTGTGTTAGTTTGCTGCATATCAACTACCATTTGTGGCCTGCTTGATGAAACTGGGACATCTGCTAGTTTTCAGTTATATTTTTATGATATAAAGAGTTATGATGCTCTAATATACTCATCTCAAATCAAACTCGCATGTTCACATTCCTACTTTTGGGAAGTTTAACATTCCTCTGGCATTTTTTGTTAGTCTATTATTTTCATTAAAAGCAGCCTGTGTTACTCTCGCGTGACATTTCTGGTCTTCTTGAAGTGCAAATTCCCTATTTCTGGCTTTTGTAGTCTAATCACTAATGGCAGAATATTTTATCTACTTGTGAACCATTTCCTACCTGTAGCTTAAAAGTTTTTTTTCCCTTTATAGGGGCTCTCAAGTAAATCCGCCTTCCAGAGACATAAGCAGTGGCTGCAGCATGCAAAAACACGTAGTGCACGACACAAGATAATGAAAGTAGGTTTATCTCTGCCTCAGAACATATTTTGGTTTAGCAACAACTCGTGTTAGCCTTGCTAATCTGGACATCATACTCTTTTCAGTTTCTGAAGGAGCAAGCTGCACTATCAGCAACTGAAATCACTGCTGATACGGTGAAAGCATTCACTGCTGAATCTGAAGAGGACAGTGAAGTGGAAGAGATCGTGGATTACTCTAAAGGGGCTAAACACACTTGGGAGAATATATTGAAGGATGTTGTGCAAATGTCATCATCTAAGACAAGTGTTGAAGATATTTTTCAATTCAACAAGAGTGGCATTCAGATTGCAAAGGTTAACGGTACTCATAACAAGCACATGCAGCATGTGAGTTTGAAGGCCAATGAAGAAGTTTTATCTCAAGGCAATGGTGTTGCCAAGATGATTCTAGCCAACATTCCCATGTACAGGGAAGTTTTGCCTGGGTTAGAGAGCTGGCGAGCTAGCAAGGTTGCATCTTGGTACAACCTTCAAGGGCACTCTGTTCAGTGGTTCTGCATAGTGTGCATAGATCGAAGAGGTAATGTTTCATATTGTTATGCTACTTTTAGGTCTGGAGCATGTTTGGCTAAGCTTAAAAATTTTACTCACGAGTAAATAAGTGAGTTTTATAATAAATAAATTTTTAATTGGTCAAAATTTGAAGTTACTTGTGTTGACAATAAAGCAAGACCTAATTTCAAATTTTAAATTTTTTTATTTCGAAAGTAGAAAAACATAATTTAACCAAACATGTTTGTGAACAAAAGTTACCTAGAAATGGTTTTACTGTTTTTTTTTAAGCTTTGTCAAACATGCTGAACCTTCTCGTCCTTATTTTAAATGTAAGAGGCATATTTTGATGGTGAATCAGGTTGTATCAATATTTTACAATTTCATATATTGGCTAATTGATAGGTCTTATGAAATATTCTTCCTCTGTTTATGATCAAAAATCAAAATGAAGGGAACTTTATTTGTTGTGGTGATTGGAAGAATTACTGTTTTGAAAATGCTATTATGCTACTGTTTAACTTAGAACGTTAATACTCATTCTCAACTCTCTAGATGCTGGATTAGTAATCTTCTAGTGACGCTGTTCAAAATTTTATCAATGACTGCCAGGTATGATGGCAGATATCACGGCTGCATTGGCAGCTGAAGGAATTACCATATGTTCTTGTGCGGTGAGTTGAAAAAAATTATTATTATTATTCATTTATTGAATGCCTTGTTTTATTCATTTATTGAATCACCATGTGAAATGTGGCAGGCTGAGATTGATAGGGGGAACGGAATGGGAGTCATGTTATTTCATGTTGAAGCAAGCCTGGATAGTTTGGTATGCTTTTGGAACGCAACTCTTCGACTTGTAATCTCATAATTTGTAAAAATAAATAAATTATGATTTATTTTTCCCAGATTAGTGCATGCTCAAAGGTGGATCTAATTCTTGGCGTTTTGGGGTGGTCTACTGGCTGCAGCTGGCCGAGCTCAATGGAGAACCAGCAGTTTCTAGAATGCTAGATACTGGTCCAGTGACCGCATAGTTCACCGGCTACTCGAGCTGGATAAAGTTTTGTTCAGAAAACGGATTTTTTGGGGGGGATGCAGTTCTTAAATTGAGCAATTTGTTGGAAACTCGGTAAATAAATCTGAAGCAAATACTAGCAAGTTCGAGGAATCAGAAGACTGTATATAGAAAGAACAGTAGTGGTAGTACAGTTGCAGTGTGATATACTTGTTAAGGCACTTTGCAAGAAGAGCAAAGATACATACAAATATGATACAGTTGATTATACCTGCATTCATTATTCATTTTGACCTCTTAAAGAGTGTTCACCGGTGGAAACTCTCTTTTTTCCTTTTCGTTCAATTTAACTTTAGGATTTTGGAGTCGATTAAGGGTGTTGAGAGCACGTTTGGTTAAGGTTAGTTACCTTGTTCCAAAACGGTCCATAGGTGGTAACTCTCTTTTTTCCTCCTCCATTTTAACTTGAGCATTTTGGAGTCGATTAAAGCTGTTGAGAGCATGATTGGCTATTGTTAAAACTAACTTATGACTTAACTTTTTCCAAAAACGTTTTGTTGCTCTTTTTGTCACAAAAACTTACAGGTCTTTACCTACCTTTTCAGAAAGCAGTCATTATTTTTGAATATTGAGAGCTGATTCACTCAAAAGTTTCAACCGTGGTGTAGACAGGTTAAAAGGTGGCAGAAATTCTATGAACTAAATATTTCAATTTGTTATTTGCCAACTCGGTTTAATGGGCTAACTATAAGGCTTCGTCGATTGTAGAACAACTATCGCCAACAGAAGCTGTATTAAAATGTCAATCTCAGAATGTTGCCCAAAATCATTGTAAAAGATTATGTTCGATGGGTTAAACATTATTAAAGTAGAGAATCAAGAGAGAGAATAAAACTAAAAAAAGTTTATTTAGGAAGGTTGACCTAAGTACATATAGCATGCAATTATTCAGTAGCCTGGGATCTTTGAGAGAACCATGGTTAAGAACACAATTAGACTAAGCTTGACAAACGATAAGCCAAAGAACCAGGAGCATGAGATCCACGACACGACTGAAAATGTCCCTATCAGTATTCTTTTTCTCATCGGATTGTTCTGTGTTCCAAGCTCCACTACGTACTTGTCAATGGACGAATTTTCAGTGCTACGATGGATATTGTATTCGTGCAAATTATATTTTCCTTCTCTAGCTGCTTTATCTTCTTCAATCTTTCCTTCCATTTCTTGACAATCGAGGTTCATTCCTTTAAAGTTCACATTTGATTCTGCAGAGAAGTTTCCTATCCCTTCCAAGTTCTCGTCTAGCTTATCAGCAAAATCTTCTACAGCCATGTTGTTGCTTTCATCTTCAATATCATCGACCTTCTCTTCATCTTCACCCCCAGTAGTCTCAAACGCCACCTCAATTTCCTCTCCATCATTTTCCTCAGAATCACTTTCATACTCTTTTTGCTGATAATCAAGAAACTGCGTCAGGGGATTGTCTTCTTTCACATCCAGGTTTTCATCATCTGCTCCACTTGCTGCTTTCTCTTTCAAAGCTGCAATTTCTTCAACGAAAAGAAGCTCTTCTTTCGGGTGATCAGCGATCACAATTTCAGAGGTGAAATGGGATGAACCGTTAAGCATATGCACATGCTCATCATAATCCCTACATTGACTGTTTGCTGGCGTTGTATTGTCAATGCAGACAGTTTCTTCATCATCATTACAGGAGATTTCTTCTGCAGCGTTCAGTTCCACTTGTAGGCATTCTTTCTTATCATCATTCGTGGTACTATTTTCCATAACAAGCAAATTCTCAACTGCTGGCTGTAAAATATGCCCATCTTCACCATAATTTTCAGAAGCAATAGATTCAGCCTTGGAAGATTCTGTACTAATAGGTTCTTGAGTGCCACAAATGTTGGTCTTTTTTTCTTCGTCCAATTCTCTCTCTCCTGCAGTTTTATCCACCTTAGTGATTTCTCCATCATCACAATGGCCTCCTACTTTGTTTTGTTCGATATTCATCAGTGTCTCTTGGTTGTACTTTTCCTCGATTAGTTCATTACTATGAACCCCGTCACCTTCTTCTCGATCAGAACACATGTCGGTTTTTCCTTCACTCAGTTGCAATTCTTGCACAGTCTGATCTGCATCAATTGTCTCAACAGCTTCACATTTTACGGCACTTATTTCATCATCCACAGGATCCCCTTCTACCTGTTTATCTTCAACATCAACGGGCTTATCTTGGTTGTTCTTCGTGCTCTCGGGTTTAAACAGCACGTTTTCATCCAAAATTGGCACATAGAATCTGTCAACAGAAATGGCACTGATTTCCAGTTTTTTGGGAATATTGCCGCAGAGAGTCTCTTCATCACTATAGGCAGCATCTCCTTTTCCACCATTAATTTCAAGATTGGGCTTCTCATCCTGAATCAATTTACTTTGTAAGCACTGAAATTTGTGAAGTACAAATAAAGAAAGAAATATTTAATATAGAACAAGAAAGACTATCAATGTTCTGTAATGATGATGACGGGATAGCACTAGACAATTTTAAGGATGAAAAAGATTGTACAGCACGCCAAACATGCCCTTGAATTCCAAGAGCGAGCGATATAGACAAGATTATAATAGAAAGAAGACAAGAATTAGACATAGAATTACCAGTATTGTGCACTCAGTAGAGACGAACAGGGCAGTATCATTCTCTGCCTCAACCACATCTGTTGCTTCAGTGCTGTAATTTCGGTTCATTAATGAAAATCCCAAGAACTAAATTACGGTAAATTTTATAGTACTCGATGATATCGAAGAAGAACAAAAATAAGAAAAAGCTATAATTTTGTACTGAATACACAAACCTTGGATTGTTATGTCCCAGTGACTGATGGGATACCGCCGTTGGTGGTGGACTCAACTGGTGGTGCTGGTTTTTCTCGCCGGACTTCCACCTGTTCCATCCGACAATAAAGGCTGATGCCACGGCGGTAGTAGCCAAAGCACCGGCCAACAAAACCACCGCTCCTATGCCTCCGCCGTCGCCTAATTTTAAAACCATTTTATTTTTTTCTTGCTCATGACATATTTTCTTGGGCTCCTCCATGTCTGAATCTCTCTGTTTTGATTCTTTCGAGAATTGTCAAGGCTGTTTTTGGTGTGAGGTAGGAGGAGATGTGTAAATATAATAATACTGGCATGACATTTACTGGATCTTTCGGAGGTTGATTCGGACGTATCATTTGACGAAATTGAATTTTCTTTTTTTATCCTTATTTTTCTCATTTTCCTTCACTTACGTTAATCAAATGAAATTTGTCATAGGCAGACTCGAGTGATGAACAAAATTGAGTACAAGACAGCAAAAACATATACAGTTAGTCCGTGTTTGGTTCAATTAAAAATTTGAATTAAAATTTAGATAAAAAATCAACAGTTAATTTTAACCACACATTTTTATTTCATTGTATTCACAACTGTTCAATCATACAAAATTTATTAAAAATTTGATCTGTCACATGCCCATGTTTGGCACCCATTTTTTATCTCATTCTTATTCTCATTTTTTTCTCTTACTTCATTTCAACCACATATTCTTTCAATAAAATAATATTACACACAAATCTAAAACTTTTCATAATTTTTCCACCACAGATTCTCCAATCAATCACTATTCTAAAAATTTTTATCTTCAAAAAATGGGTTTCAAACACACCCTATTAACTCTACAGCTTTACTAAAAAATAATAAATGACTGGTGAGATGAATTTTGAAAAGGTCTCGAGTCACTAGACAATAGATTGGTCAATTTATTACATATTAAATAATTCCTAGTCAAAATAATGGAATTCTCACGTAATTATTCACAAATACATAGTTAATGACGTATACTTGTCGCAAAGAGAGACAAAACATCGCCCTGTTTGGGAGGGATTTAGATTTTTCTACATTACATACTCCCAAACAAGCTCATAGAAATAAGCATACAGTTGACTGCTATGCAGTGGAATCTTTTTTTTTTTTCTCACCCCTCTTATTTGTTAATTAAATAGGAGAAAAATCTTTATTATACGTCAATTTACGTAATTAATAATAATTTTCTTCAACTAATTAAAGTTGATAAAATTGTCATGTGAAATTAAGTTCGAAGTCAACCGTTTTGTTACTTTGATAGTTGTTTCAAGGATTACGCTTCATTAAAAAATAATATCTTTCGATATCATCTGTCTACAATTTGTATATTTAATCATTTATAAGTAGAATTGACATATTTTTCAAATGGAATTTCATCTGGTCCATGTTTTTGATTATAATATTGTCGCGGGAATATTATAAACTTGGAGTAGTAGACTTATTCAGTGTCCAGATTTGAATATTGAACAAAGAAATATAATTTGAAAAATACTATGGATGTTAAAAATAATAATTTAAGATTAATAATAATAATGAAGTTTTTCATTGTTTTTAATTTTAAAAAATGTTTCAATAAATATTAGTTCAAGACGAGATAAAATTCTCAGGTCCATCCCAAATAAACGTACCTCCTCGATTCCTCAAACTCGTTCCGATTCCTTTTTATCTTATCATATTTTATTTTCTTTTATATTTTTCAATTTAAATCTTATTTAAAAAATTAAACCGAGCGTCCCAAAAATCCCCAAGGATGATAATACGAAGATACGAATAGCTCCATCGTCAATCATAATATTCCGCACACGAGTATGTACAAAAATTAAAAACAAGAGTTTTGTTATTTGTATATCGGGTTAACACCCCAGTGTACAGAAATAAAATCGTGAACCCCCACCTCTTGTGAGGGAGTCTATACATCGAAGTGTCAAATCTTGTGTACACTTAGCGAAGTCCTATAAACAATGCTGGTATTTATTAATTTTAAGTTTCGTGAAAAACAGAAAAGAACAAATAATGATGGAATAATAATTTCAATTTAAAACTTAAATTATATTTTTTCAACTTATTTGTTCAGTTTCGAAATTATATTCATTTTATCAACTCCATTTAGGAAACGACAGGAACCTAAATGCAGGACCCAAAAGTAAATAAACATCTTCAAAAACTTAGGCCTCTCAATCAGTACCCATTTGGAGCTGTTTTAGGTTCCGAAGTGTAAACAAAAGGCCCAACCGAGTACAATCTCGTGCCCTTCTGTCCTCCAACAAGTCGATAAGCCGATAAAACAACTCCATTTGATCCATAGTTTACATCACTCGCGAACTGACACGTGTTCGAAGGAGAGCTTTCTAGAAAAGTTTTGCATTGAGTTATTTTGCAACCATCTTCGAGTCGAAAAGATAGTTTTGTAAGGAAGTAACCATTGGCATCGGTTGGACGGCTCAAAATTGAGAATGGTGCCGGTTCATATCCATACTTGTCAAGGGCTAGGCACGTTATTCTTGCAATAGCTCCTGCAATAGTTACCGTTTCAAAATTAGTCCCATTAAATTTAAAATAACGACTCTTCAAAAAATATAGAACGAAAAACAAAACAAAACAAAACAAAAGATCAAGACATCACCTTTAAGTGGGTTGAGTTTAGAACCCGATTTACAATAAATAATTCCCTGAACTCTAAAACTTGCAGGAAGAAACTCTTTTCTTGGGTCGGGTGACTCCAACTTCGGTTTCGGAGCTCCATATCCATATCCGTATCCATTTGCAGAAGCAACAAGCAATAGAGACAAGAAAAGTAAATAGAATAAATATGCAGAGCAAATAGTGAGAGCCATTTCGATATGTTTTACAAGATACAAAAATGTGTGTGTGTGTATATAT